TTTTGCGTATTGTGACCTCCTTTACTAGATGCACTTTCAGATCTTCATGGAGTGTTATATTGGAAACATACCGTGGGGCGTTAGTAATCATACGTAGTATCTTTGACTGACATCTTTGGATTATGAAAATACTGGTTTTGCTAGCACATCCCCATATTTCCACTACATATACCCAAATTGGTTTTATTATTGTTTTGTAAAGTAAGATTTTGTTGTCTAAGGAGAGTTTGGAATTTCTTCCAATTAACCAATGCATATCCTTGATTTTTAGATCAATCTGTTTGCGTTTTTTAGTAGTGTGTTCCTTCCGCAGGACATTGTTCTCTTCTTAGACTGAAGTTTACTTGCACTGACTTGGTTTCATTGATTTTTATTTTCCATGTAGTTTTCCACTCTTATATTTGATTTAGATGATTTTACATGTTTAATGTGTTTCCAGATGGTATTGTCATATCTGTTGAGGCTGGTTATATAGCCAGAGAAGGATCTGTCTCTTGCCTATTTAAGTTTACACTTCAGCCTATTACTTGTATGGCTATATGTTGTTTTATCTGTTGGTGCTCGACTTCTGTGCCACCTTGCTCTTGCTCTTCTCTTCTCAGCTATGAGTTTTTTAATTTCAATTGGAACATTCCTTGTATTATTTTGGAAGGTGATCTTAGGTTAGCATCTTTGGTTGCCTGTTTTATAGTGTTGATTAGAGAGGTTGGCGCCCTGTCCATTTCCATTGGGCTCTTGAGTCTCACATTTAGATTTATATCTCCTTGTAGTTTCATCCTGTGTTCTTCCCAATTTGTTTTTTATTGTGCCGTTTACTTCTTGGTGTTTTGTGAATAGCATGACTACTGACAGTGGCTATAATTGCTGTGTGATCTGAAGAGAGATCGAAACTGGGTACCACATCCATGTATTCTGAAGAAATTCCATTAGTAACGAAGCAGTCCAAGAGGTCAGGGTTTTTTGGGGATCTGTTGGCCAGTATGTCCGCGTGCCAGTTGACAAGTGCGAATATTTTTGCTCTTGTAATGTTTTTGATAATTCTCTGCCTCTGGTCGTTTTTAGACGAGATCCTCATGAGGTGTTCTTGCTATTATAATCTCCGCCTGCTACAAATTTGTGTCCCAGAGTTTGAAAGGAATCATTAAAATTCTCTTTTTTTTTGTGGCCAGTAAACTGCAGCAACAGTTAACTCGTATTGGGTCATCTTTACTTTTATCACTGTGGCCTGTAGGTGATTTAATTTGTACTTTGGGAGCTCATAATGGTTAATAGCTCTTTTTATTAATATAGCAGTTCCTTCATGTGCTGTAGTGTCGGGATGATTAGTAGAGTATGTTAAATACTTTGGTATATTGAAGTAGGATCTATCAGTGAAATGAGTTTCACTTATCAGCATTATGTCTATGAAGGTGTGTTGAAGGAATATCTCTAGTTCATTTTTTTGCTTCAGAAGGCCATTGGCGTTCCATAATGCAATTCTGAGGAATTCAATGGATTTTAGATATTAACGTTGATAGCATGTTTAATACCATGCTGTTTTGTTGAGTGAGTTGTTGGAAAATTGCTTTAAATTCTTCAAGAAATTTGGTTAACAAATTAGTTGTATTTGGGTCGTTGTTAGTATTTTCCCTTGCTTCTCCTGGGAATGTGATGTTTGGTTCTTGGTTTCTCTTCCCTTTAAGGGCTTCTGAATAACTGATTCCTGGTTGTAACTGAGCTGGTTGACTTTGGGTTAGTGCGTTGTGTTGAATGTTTAGTCTGTTGTTAGTGTTATTCGGTTGTTTTAGTAAACTGTGATAATATTCACATCCTCTGTAATCAGCCGGATGTGCACCTCCACAGAATACACATTTTGCAGGCGTGTTTTTAGATTTCTTGCAGCTCTGTGTGCTGTGCGACCCACCACATTTTACACATACATACGGTTTGTTACAATATGATCTTGTATGACCATGTTGTTGGCATCGCATGCACTGTGGGATTCCTTTGGCCTTAGATATTGTGACTAGATCCTTTAAAGTTTTCACAAAATTCATATATTTTGGAGCGACAGTAACAAATCAAAATTTTGTTCATGTGAAAAATAAGAGCGCATTGTAATCGAATAATATTTGCTACAATTCAGTTCAGAACTTTTTTCCTTTTCGCCTGCTGTCTAAGACTATCGTAACGTGTAGGGGTTACTTATAAGACGGGGTTTGGATTAGTAATTGGATTGATTGTTCATTCCTTGTACAGTCACTCATGATCACAATAAACCTTGAGCCGACTGACTCGACACTCTCCATTCCGACCTACGCCTCGATCTGGATTTCCTGTTACGGAAATGTTTGTATCCCTCGTTCAAGGAAACGTTGTACCGTCACGGGCTCGTTTCCAGGAATCAGTCTCAATGAAACTTGTTTGCCGACTCGCTCCCAAGCAATGGGCCTATAAGTCTCAATATAAAATAAAAACATGAGAACTGTATTTTTACTGCAGTTTTATATGTGTGTTAAACTTGGTCTCTGACATAAGGAAACAGAAGAAAGTGAAGGCATTTCAGAACAGGGTTCTATTTGAACCGAAGAGGGATGAAGTGACGGGAAAATTTGATAATGAGGAGCTTCATAACTTGCCCTTTTTTCTTTCTTTTCTTTCCTTGGCGCTACAGCCCCAGTGGGCCTAGGCCTACCTCCATGAACTTCTTCGTTCACTTCAGTTTTTCTAGAGCTTACACATTCGGTAGGACTCCTTGGGCAGGTGATCAGCTCGTCGCAAGGCCTCTACCTGTACACAAATATAGAAAAACTCACACACACAAACTAAACATCCATTCCCTGAGTGGGATTCGAACCCACAATCCCGGTTTCCAAGCGAGCGAAGACAGTACATGGCTTAGACCGCTCGGCTACCGTGACCGGAAACTTGCACTCTTCACCAAATAAAATTAGATTGATGAAGTCAAGGGGCATGAGATGGGCAGGGCATGTTGCAAGCATATGAAAGTAAAGGAATGCATGTGGGATTTTTGTGGGAAAGCAGGAAGAAATGAGACCACTAGGAAGACCAAGATGTACGTTAGCGGATAATATTACAAAGTATCGTGGGTACATAGGATGAAGTGGTATGGTCCGGTTTCATCTGGCTCAGGACAGCGACCAGTGAGAGAATCTTGTGAACACGGTAATGAACCTTCGTGTTCCATAACAATTTGGTAAATTCTTAAGTAGCTAACAGACTGACGGCTTCTCAGCAAGGGCTGAGCTCCCCATGGATTTGGTTGGTTAGTTAGTAATGATGATCCTACAGCTTACTACTGAATGTTCTCTGTAATTAGTTCTCACTTTCTTGTCCCGTTCCCGTTTCGTCGCCATATTGTAACATGAACTTGAAGAATTCGAATAATAATGCCACACCCTAAGAAAATGTCCCAAATTTTAAATACTTAGTGCCGCCAGCAACAAACAGAAATTATATCAAGGAATCAATTACGAGCAGACTGACTGAGTTAGAGGAATGCTTTCCGTCATTATGTTTTGGGTGTAATTCGATCTCTCCTCCTAAGGGAATAAAATGAATCGAAGGGTTCAAGAGATCATCTGGACACATGAATTAAGAAGAAAGGTCACGGATTCGATTCTCGATGAGGTCATTTGTTTTTTAAATTACCTAACCCTTCCAGTCACACTATAGCCCTGAGGTCGACTCAGCCTCTAATAGAAATGAGTACCAGGAATCTTCCTGGGGGTAAAGGGCGGCTGGCGAGTAAGGCAGACAACCTCACCGCCATCTGTGTTCCGATTACCTAGAAAATGTAGCAGCCCCGACGGCTCAGAAATCTTTTGGCCTCCGTGGTCTCTTACAGAGATAGTTTTACCTACCCCCATTTTACTAGGGAGATTAAGTGGAGGAGGGAGAAATGGGCGTAATGTGTAGCACGCATAATGGAGATGACAAATATTTATATTGTAGCTGAAACCCCATGAAAGGAGATTATGGTAAGATCAAGGCAGCGATATACTGTGAGGTTGTGGGCTGGATTCAGCTGCTGTGAAAATGGTAAGGAGACTTCGGGTCCCACTGAAGACGACCGCAGCTTGACAACCAGTAGCTTCTGAACAACTTACGTGGCTCCCAGCATGTGAAGGCGCTGACGGAGGCTGCAGGAGTCTGGAAGCGCAGCGCAGCCGCAATGAAAGCCATCGTTGTGCAATCTCTGGCCTGGCAGTTACTCCCAAGGCAAGTGAAGAGCAGGGCGCAGGCCGCCAGGTGGCACAAGTTGTGGCCACCGTACTGTGAGTACCGCGACAACTCCATCTCCTTAGACAGTCGAAGCAGAGCACTGGAATAGGTTGAGCCGACTTTGTTCGACTGTGGCTTCTCAGTCTTTCTGGCAGAAAGCATCCTCATACCTGATTTCATTGCACATAACAGCTGTGTAATGTAAATTGTTCTGCCATACAACTTGTATCGTATTTGTCTGGACTGTACATATTGATACAACGGTAGGAAGTAATTTGTTCTTCAACAGAACTTGCAACTACTTTGGTATCATGACAATTTAAAACGACGTTTATTCAAACAAATTAAGAAGCCCGAGTACATTACATTATGTTTTTTGTAAATACCTGAATTGCGCTGTGAAGGTGGAATTCTGACGATACAGATAGACTTGCATATTTGCATTGAAGTTTTATTTGCTTTAGGATCGTATACAATCATTATCATCAGGTTCTAGCCACGTGGAAGCTTCATAATGCAACTTAGGCATACAAGTCGGCCTTCTTCTGTTGAGAACTTTTGGCTTCCTCATCGATAGAAATGTATATTCTTGCTGTAATTTGGTAAATGCAAAGCAAATGAATATCTTTGCTACAGGACAACATTACTCTGTTTTGTTCCATGCAAAGGGAAATGCACACAAAGTATATTCGGTCCTAGACAACGACACTCTAGATTAGTTTAAACAAAGGCAAAGGCACAACCTAGCTCCTAGAAGGTACTGCTATTTCGCTTATGCAAACAAAAGCATACATACACTACTAAAGATTGTTTCTGTGTATTGGTTTATGCAAAAGCAAATGCATACACTCGCTTATAGATAGCGTGGCCGTCTTTTGGCAAATTCAAAGACAAATGCATATATTCGCTCTAGATGGCGTTGGTGTACATTAAATTAAGCAAGTGTACTTTCATCTATTTGCTTCTAGGCAATGTTGCTCTATTCCATTTTATCCTAACACAGATTTGCACATTTGCTACCAGACAGCGTTGCTGTACTGTGTTCTGGATTATGCACGAAGATATATCCATTCGATGCTAGAGAGCATTGCTCTAATTAAGGTCGTCTAATTCGCTTCTAGTACTGCTTCTAGTACATTCAGCTACCCACAGGCAAGTGATCGTTAGAGCGAAAATGAATTTAATTTAGCGTGCAGCTCCTCTTGCTCTTCTTTCCGCATGTCTTGTGCTTTGCCTGCAATCATGACCGTAACAAATGAACTCATGAGTAGACTGAACTGGCTCAATTGCTAGCTGATGAACACGCATCAAATTCTGTTTATATAGGACGTTTTCTTGGAACCAACTCCCGGTTGATATAGTTTAGAATATAAACTTAAGCACGTGGCCCGTGTCTCTCAGAATTCGGGGGATCACTGTGTAGCTCACTTAGAGCGATCGCACCTACGACATGGAATCTTGTAATACGAATTCGTGACAGAACGTACAAGGCTCAACAATTTTAATCACAGTGATTTTTACATTTTACACATTCTACAGCATCTGCATGCCCGTAGTTATAGCTTATATTTATTTTATTGATATCTGCCGCAATTGCATTGCTGCTACATATCCCCGTTATCCCATATTTGATATATATACGCATAACCAGTCTTGAATGCAGTTCAGCTGCACTGAAGATTGTGTTTGTGTACGCTGAAATACAGCGTTATTCACAATAAAACACTCTGACAAGTATCACTGTGGGAACAATGGTTGCTATAGACACCCAGCAGAAACCAGACAATGGCTGTACTATAATACCTGAAGATGGCCTCTAGGTACAAAACACGTAGCTACATTGGTGTAATATATAAATGCTCCTCACAGTTAGCTACTAGCAGTTTCTAAGAGCTGAACTGCTTCATGGAGTCAGTCTTGTCACCTATGAAAGTCAACAGACTCAGCGATAAGTCGGTTGTTGTTCCGTTCCAAATTCGCAAATTCCATTATATGAGAAGAGCGTAAAGCACTCAGTGGACTTGCAGTAATTTCGGAATTGTGGGCGCTCTTGCTTCGCACGGGCCGAGAAATCTAGGAGGTAAGGTGGTCGAAGGCGAAATAATAATTTTGTTACGGAAATATCTTGGAAAACAACTACATGCAAGATCACGAATAACAGGTGAAAGTAATATGAAGGTGAAAGTAATATGAAGGTGAAAGTAATATGAAACTTAAAAGTTAGAATCGACTGGTGATGGTGCGGGCTTACCGTCTGTGCACCAAGACTTCCATGAGGAGGATCCCGAGGGACAGCAGCATCCCGTATCCCAGCACGAGCACTGCAGAATAGAAATCCACGAGACCCACGCTCACAAAGCTGGTGCCTCTCTGCGTGCATTCAGGCTTAGCGTGGTAGAACCGCAGGGTTTCCCGCCGCTGCAGCCCCCGCTCCTGCACCTTGCGATAACTCAATGGAAGGAAAATTGTTTCTTCAAATTCGGAGTACTAAGTTGCACCAGAATTTTAACTTAAACTTTCTTATATTTAAGCATTTCTCTCACACCACTTTCATGGTCTATACAAATATAAGTTTGGATTTACAGAGAGCTTGTTAAATTGCAAAAGGAATGAATGTTTTAACATACGCGACTGCCAAAATCTCCTTGAATGCCGTCTGCTTGCTAACCGCCACAAATGGTTCCGGTGTTCCAGGGAAATACGGAACCGTCTGCAGGTTGCACTTCTCTTCCTCAAGAAACGTGTCCCATACGAATTTGTAGCCCGGTCCTAGTTCCATGTGAAAGGCAAAAGGACTCGTCCTGACCCTTTCGACGCCATCTTGAAGGGGTAAGAAATTCTGTGGACCTCCTGGGGGACTCACCTTCTTTCTGTAGATGGCGCGCCGTATCGGATCGCTCGCTTCCTACAACAGCAGTTCACAAAGTTTGCAGGAACAGTCTGTTTTACTTCGTGTTGTGTGAAATTTTATGAAATTTTTTCCAATAAGATTTCCGCCATTGCAAAATGCGGGAAATAGTAGTACTCGTGGACCGAGCTGTAAATAATTTAGCCTTAGTAGGCCCTGCCATAACTCAGGCAGTTAGTTGCATGTTTCCCACCGCGGCGGCCAGGGTTCGAGCCCGGAGGCCAGTTAGTTGCCGGCTTACCAAGCGGACTCAGTCTCACCCCAATCCAAGACAATATAACTGGCGTTAGTACCTAGGTCTCCGAACCGGGGTAGATTAGTCTTTATAGCGACTGGAGAGTGACTAGTCGGCCGGAGTGTCCAGAATGGCACTTGGGCCTATCAAACCTCCTAGGATTTAAAGCGGCTGAGGAGTGCAGCTGACCATTCCCCGCCACCTAATGCCAAGGTGAAGAGCAATGGAGCTATATCTCCACCCCCCATACGTCTTCATGGTATAATGTCTGATTAATCAAGCACGAAGACAACTTTAACTTTACATTTATTTCCTAAGTTGAATTAGGCAGAAATGTTTCGTCTGTTACGTCTCGGATTGGGGAATACAAATTGGCTCAAACTGACAACAACAGCGGTCGTGTAACACGGGGGACAACTAGCATAGTTGGGGGCATTGAATCGAAGGAAGTCAAGAAAGCAGTCAATAGAAAAACGAAGACGGAGGTGGAAGGAGGGTATTAAGACGAACATGGAGCATAAAGCAGAGGGGAAGATAGGTGTCGAGTGGTGATAGGCATTCAGGTATAATATAGTTGGTGCCAGTAAATTCTGCTTGTGAGAGTTTTGTGGTTAGCAAAGGGCTAATGGGGCAAACTTTCCCAAGTCATCATTCTCAAGACCATGGTCTAGTCGGGTCGTTTGGAACTGCACTACCGACTTCCTCAGATGTCTAGTGGTATCCGACAGGGTGGCTAATGAGAATAGGGTGTCTGCATTTCACATTAAATGAAGTAAAGTTAAAAATAAAACGAGCACACCGGCAGTGAAGGCACTGTTTTCTCTGTAACATTGCTATTGCTCCACGTGACGCACCCTGAAGTAATGTCTGTTGTAAATGATATCGTGTGCACCCAGGGTCAGACCACTGTGAAGCAAGTCATTCAGGGTGCGGATAGAGGTCGTGGAGGACTGCAGCAGAACTACGATGCAGGCGGAGTACGAAGTGTACAGAAAGATCACAGCCACGAAGAGGAAAATCGTGATGATTCTGCCAGGCGCTCCCTTGGCTTCCACTGCAGTGCCTGCAACTCGAGCATAACGGAGAGAAATGCTTTACCTATTTATTTTGTATTGGTAATTGTATATATCACAGAACTGAAAATTCAATGACTCCTTATTTCGCCAAAAAGTTATATTTGTACATTCTGCTTTGTGCTCATTTCCCCCTTCCCGTATAAAGAAATGCGAGGCTTATCCAGAAAAATAGCAATAAATAGTTTAATGACTAGATAAAGGGGCACAAGTGTCCATCTGCATTTAATATTTATTAACACTAAAGGCTCCAGATGTGATTTGTGATGTATGTACGCCACCATAGGCCCAAATCTTCCTACAGGAAAAATGAGTCCGTCTTCAGTGAATTTCAGAACTTTAAAATATTTCTTTCTGGTTCAGCTCATTCTGCAGCCTTGCTACTCATTCTCCACTATTACTGATATTCTTATCTGCTCAGAAACAGTTGTATAGGACAGGCTGGAATTGTGCATTGCTCAATCGTAGTATTTTCATTGAACTTACACCCAGAATAATGAACTTGTTCAGAACCTGGAAAGAGTTCCCTACCCTGTTGACACACGGCCCCCACTGTAAGTAGAGCCACGTCGCTCCACGTCACCTGTCCTCCCACGCTGCCTTCCTGGTTCAGTGCCTCGTGCAGCAAGATGCCCATTACTGCAATGAGGCCAGCACTGGCCAACCAGACGGAGCGGCTGAAAGGCAGGGTGAAGATGTTGTCCACAAAAGACAGCGGTGGCCGTCGGAACAGGAACTCTGCTCTAATGAAGGCACATAATTGGTTAGCACAAACGCTGTCTTCTTGCACATGCTCCTAGTCACAGGAAATGTCCAGATATACCACCCTAACAAATAATGTAACTGATATCAAGCCATTTAAGGCTAAGACATTGCTTGCATTTTGACAACATTTGAGTCCAGTGTCATTTGCTTTCAAAATATCTCTGGCATGGGGGTGAGCATCGCTAGCTATAATGCCGAACGTGCATGCCATTGTCCCAAATTGCGAGTCTCAGGGCCCGGTGTAACTGCGTCATGATGAAGCAGGAAGACGCCGTATCTCAAATACTACCCGACAGCAGCCTTGCTTCCAAACTGAAGTCGCCAGGGAAACATACATACGCAAAATAAGAGCTACTGGAGTCCACAGAATCCGCATCTAACCCATGAAGTCCCGTTCTATCTAGTGAAAGTTGGTGTCTGGTGTGCCTTAAGTGCAAGTGCCTATGTTTTTGACGAAATAATTAATCGCGAAGAATGTGTACAGATCATTCTCAGACTCTATGACTGGTTTCTGCAAGACTCGGCTACTGCTTACGCTGCACTCATGTCTATGCAGGCTTTGCCCGACGTCTTCAGGACAGAATTATGAGCAGTGGTATTTGGCCAACACTTTCGCCTGATCTTACTCCTTGTGATGTGTCCTTCTGGGATTGTGTGAAGGACAGAGTTCGCAGCAGTAACGCTCGAACGGGAGAAGAACTAGGACATTGCAAACATTGTTGAAGAACAGCTTCAAAGTGCAAATCGCAATTCCTCCACCGGTGCTAGAAATGTCAACGTGTGGAGGAACAGCATTTTCAACATCTCTGGTGATCTGTGTATTTGAACTACTTCATCAGGAAAGCTTTTTGGTCAACAGGCATATTTATTCATCGACAAAATTTGTATGCGACCCCCAGCTGGCGGTGCACCGGTCGCCGTGGAGCTCAGAGCCATGAACCGGGCACCGCAATTTGTACATATCGTCAAAAAATGTTAGGGCGATAAATTCAAAGAAGGGACCGGAAATGGAGCACGTGTCAGAAAGGTGAGGAATACGTCCAGAATTTTAGTCTGAAATCTTAGAGGGAACAAATTATTTGCGAAACCTTGGAGTAGACAGAAAGGTAACAGTAAAGTGGCAGTAAAGAAACAGGGTGATAGGATATGGTCAGAATTCTTTTTGGCACAGGATATGGTCCAGTGTTGGGCTGATGGGAAAGCAGTAATGAATTTTCGGCTAGCATGAAAATTATGATTTCTTGACCAGATGGCCAGTTGGATAACTGCCAGCTTCTCGAATTGCATCTGTTCTGACTTGCCTGGATCTTGTGGTGCCCGCGATGTAGGTTACCATTGACAGTCGCTCCTCGATGACGAACATTGGGCTGGCCCCAATATCGGCGTCCCCCCTGTGCAGATAGCCAAGCATTCCACTCCAAGCGTCGTAGCCCCACGAGTTGACTACCGCCATCTCAACACTGTCACAATTGAAATCCACATGTCTGAACACCAAATCTCTTTCAAAACGAGGATCTGATGACCGAGTCATGGCTCTTAATCAGCAGGCCTATATCTGAGTGGCCCAGACGGCCTTGATAACGGAGTGCTATTATCCATCCAATTCTTTCCTCTCCGAAACAGGCGCGGTATTTTCGCCAGATTTCGTGAAGAGTGGTTAAATATGATATATTGTCATATCGATGAAATATAAAAGTTGATTTGCATAAAACATGAACAGAACCTGCTGACTTTCTCAGAAATGACTTGTCTTAAATAAATTGCCATAACGCACTACTGAAAGAATTAAGATCTATAATTATATTGAAATCTGTTTTGATGTAAATAGTCGGCAGGAGAACAAAAGGATTTTCCATTAAATATAGCGGAGCACAAAATATATCGGGGGGGTGGGGGGTGGTGCAATTTTTCTTTCATAACCTCTACGTTACAGGAGTCGTTAACTCAGCCGGGACACAATGCCACTTGTGCTGGTGTTCCATTAAAATAGAAGGATGGAGCAACAACAAAATAGAAAAATTATATGCTGAACTTCATTATTTTTATTATTCTCCTAATATTTTTAGGATAATGAAATCAAGAGAGAACTGAGCCGACACTGGAGGGTACAAATAGGATCCTTACCTTGCGTTAACGATGTCAGCAACATGGCAAAACAGCCTGTAGTTCATTTTGCTGGCCGTGTCGATGTGCCTGTCCTCGGTGTCCGAAAGGTGGAGCAAGCTGTCGTTATTTGTCACCTGGCAACAGCATCACCGTCAACTTCTTATTTTGTATTTTATAAATAAGTTGCCTTAACAGACCTACACATTCTTCTGAAGTCTGTGACTGTGCCCACAATCGCAGCAAAACACTTCCTGGCTCTGGTTTATCCTGCGCCAAGCCCATAGTGACAATGCACTCAACAATACTGTCAGCAGTTCAGGAAGCAGATAGTCAAATAGTAGGATATTTAATGAATGATGAAGCATAAGTTGTTTAGAATGAAGCGCTGGTGACACATGGCAAGGAAAAGCCCAGCATTCGCTTCAAGAAAATGAGAAAAATGACGAAGAACCCTAATCAGAATAGACGATTCCCTGTCCGAGATTCGAACCAACATATCACGAATGCAACTCAGAAGCTCTATCGCTTGAGCCATATTACGTGATAGTACATTCGTGGGGAACAGAAGGCACAGAGGTAGCCAAACAGCGTGTGGATACTAAGATCTGCTGTCATCTCAGTGCGCTTCTGGGGAGACTTGTTTTGCTGTACATACAGACACTGTCACATAAAGTTGTTATTGTTCCACTCAACGTGTTTCGGCCCATTAGGCGATACGTGACGTGTATACAAACAACGATCGAACTCTGTCAAACTACAGTGCTACTACGAGTATAAATCTGAAAATTTACAGACCCCCCCCAACTCATTTCCAATAATATCTGACCTTAAGAAAGAGCCACCAGAAAAAAATCTATAAAGTAAAATAGCACAAACATCTGTAGCATTGTCAACAAAGCGACAGATCTCATCAGCATCGGATCCATGTCCAAGTAGAACGCAATCAGTATACCTCCAATCGAGTCCCTTTACCAGAATTATTACTACGCCCAGGGACACAGAGCACCTCCGTCGCCCCCGCATCATATGAAGAAATACAAATGTACCTTTATCACACATCCCAAATAAAGACGCGCCCACCTTGTCACGTCAAACATATATTTTCTGAAATTCTCCAACTCTCTCCTTCCCTTGTAAAATTCTTAGATCTTTTATAGTGATTTTCGCCTTACATTCTGCTAGTTTTTATTCTTAAATTTAATAATATATGTATGTCTATATTTAAATTTTAAATGTTAATGTATAGATGACATTAAGTCAGATGCGATCTAACTTACCTAATAAATTGTAGATTCATGGAATTCCGTCAGCTTTTGTACATTTCTCAGGATGCAAGGTTCGTCCTACTTACCACCATGACGGCCTTGAGGGTCGATTTCTGAAGATTTGTTCTTCTAGTAAATGTTATGGTTGATGAAGTCAGTCGGACCCCAAGCTGCGGCCTCCAGTCTCCAATGACTCTCTTTATAATTGTGTCTTGAGGTGTACGTCGGTAGAGCTCCACCAAGAGGAATGCTCCCGTGGAACCTCGCTCTGCTGCTATCACGTCGCTGTCTAGCAGAACGCCCAGGTCCGCTAGTGCAGACTGTGCACTTGTTACGTTGCCCAGCAAAATCCATCGGCTGCGGGCGCCGAACAGCTTCAGCACACCAGCCTGGATGGTAGAACAAGTGCATACAATTCGGTACATTATCAAAGGAAAAATTTCTGACCGTAAACACGTTTCTATCTACAGAAATCATAATCAGGGGGTTTTTAAAAATACGTATACCCTTAGTAAATTATCAGAATGGATCCATTTTTACATTTATCATTAATGTAGTAATAATGTAGCGGAATAAAAATAAAATAACCCCTACTAATTAATATTTTAATATCAGTTTATGATCAATTGTTGTGTTGACTACTCCTAAGTATAACTTCAATACATGATACGCAAAAGGATGCAGAAAATGAAGATAATTCTCTACATTAACCTGGACAGTAGAACACGTCCAACCATCCTCAATACCTCAATACTCTCACAAATAGGATGGTACACGTGACAGAAATGACGGGTTGTAGTTTGAAAGACTGGCTATACACAGTCTCTCTTAATTTCATTTAAATACAGCGGTATCGCTGCTTCCACACTTTACAGTTCACTGTTACATACACACGCACACGCACAGGGACAATAGTCCTCTCCGGGCGACGCATATCAACACAGAAATTAAAGCTTCAAATCACTCCAAATATTACACTGAATAAAGTCTTATAATCACACTTTAAATCTTCACAGGTGGAAAACGAAATTCCCGTGACTGTCTCCTACTGAGAACTCGCTATAGAGGAACTGCACTCAAACTCTCTCATTGTCACTTTGCGACTGACGGCTAGTCAGTCACTCTTGTTGTCGAGCCACATTTGGGGCTCATGACCACAAATTTATTACTGTTTGACAGTTACGGTCTTGTTATTTTGGGGCGCAGTATATCTGCAGTATGAAGTTATTTGTCATAATGTAAAAGATGTTTACATTTTATAAGTTAAACGCGTTAGAAATGTATATACAATACAACAATATATACATTGGACAGTAGGATTTATGCACAAATGTTGATTACATCAGCCTGGTCAGCATAACGTTATACACCCAACTATGTTCCAAGCGGTTCTGGCAATGCAGTATAACCCTCGGAAATAATTGTATTTTTATTTCGTTCATGGTCTTCTATTCTAAAAACACGAAGTTTCGAAGTTACTGAGGTTAGCTGTTTCTAACGAATATGATATGCAAGGACGTGCATGCAGTGGAGTTGCGTCTGACATGGCGGTTACAGCGCGTCAGCACATAATCGCGTATAGCTTTTATATCGCGCTTAAATTGCATACTTATGTGTATGTGTGTATGTACTCGTATAATGTACATAATAAAGACTCCGCATACAATTAAACTACAGTAATATTGTTTTAATTGCACAAATGATACAGAGAGGGAAGGAAATGGGAGGGGTAGGCAGGTCTCGAATTCTATCCACGGGACGCAGGGCCAGGCTTGGGCAACGAAAGGCAACTCGTAGACGAATCGCCAGCTATGCTTAAATGTTTATTTTTATTAATTAATTAATTTATTTAATTTGGCTAGCGCGTATGGTTGAATTCTCAAGTTAAATGCCCATATGACGAGACTCCAGTGTGCTCGCACAACTGAATATGCCAGGCTAGCCTGTACAATATGTACAGTCAGGTCCATTAGGACACGTTCAGTACATCTGCCTCTAGACAACATAAAGAGTACTCTTGGGTTCAGTCTCTGAGCATGGGCAGTATAATGTATCAACCAGACCGCTACAACTTGCACACTCACACTTATTTTGTGTCCCTCGTTCGTCTGATGTGATATTGTTCCCAAAAACACATCACGTGGATGTAGAATAAAATTTTTCATTGCATATCAGTTACAACATTAAATACTCGTAAACAGACGTTTACAATAAAGTTGCAGAACTTAATAAAGCTCTGTGCCATGTATGGCGTACAAGAAGTCGTGTTTGGCCGCAACGAATTCCCGTTAAAATATCTATATCATAATGTTGTATTTTAGCGTCCTTTTGCACTGATCTTCGTCCATGATACGTAAGCAATGTCCGTCTTTTAGTGCACTCAATTTTACTTGTTATTTCACAACATGTTTCGGCACTACAGTGTCATCATCAGGTGCTCTAATTACGTCAATCTATTTCATTGCTTGCCATTACGTCATTGTAGAATTTAAAAAGTATTTAAAAATGTTCGTCAATTATAATAAATTTATATACTAAAAACTTGTTAAGATTATTTATCTTATCTGTCCCAATTCTAACACCAAGCATAGTTTCACCACTATGGGAGTCGTTCCTCTTATTCTCAGGGTATATCGTGTCTCGTGTTGCGTGTTCCCTGTTTGGTTGCGGGTGTTGTTGCATATCATATCTCTCAGTCCGTCCGTCTGTCCGCGTACATTAACTCGAGAGCCCCTGAACAGTTTTCCACGCGCGTGACGTTGGCAAGTTTCACAAACTGCGTTCCTGTCTCGAGCGTGGCTAGCTAAATATTTACCGGAGCAATTAATACTCGTACTTTAGATAGAAGTTGTAGAGAAAAATGACACACTTATTTCATGCCCAGTACACTCTTCCGTTTTTATCATTTCGAGACACTTAAGCCAAAATACTAACCACTCTATGCATACATTTCAAAACATATTCAGGCAGAGTCCGACTTGAGCTTCCTGTAAGTGTAGGGCCGATAAGGGCTGATGTTATCCTTGCCTCTCAGCTTTTGTTCTAGACTATCATGGGTCTGCAGCTGGTCTAAATGACACTGAATTGTTCTGTTCCGGTCTCACTGCAAATATAACCTGTCTCCACAACGAAGGCCAGCCTCCAATTATCATTTGGGAAAATAATTCCTGTTTATTCTTTGAATCATACGAAACACATAGAGAGAATATTCTGTGGGCAATATACAGAGCTAGTGGAAGCTTAAGCAGGGTGTGTATAGGATTTGGAAATTTAAAACGCCGGATTACATACAGAAACTTGGGCAGCTCAAAATCTCCTGCAGGTAAAAATGGAATTACCTCGTACAGAATGGCGCGAGTACCCTGGCAGGCCATGTCTACAATGTATGCGACGTATCTGCCCCTCTCTGTTGCTCGGAGCTGAGTTAAGGCTCCTTGGTTCGTCGCTTGAGTCGAGAGAAGCACGCCCTCCTCCGACAGATATCGCGCAAATCGGTGATTATCAACTGGAATGAATTACCAGCAGAGTTATTGGACAAGTTGGATCATTTTAACGGATTGATCCACTGAAGTTAATTGTAAGAAACTAGAAACTTCAGGTGAGCCAGGTATAATGTTTATTTTGTGCCCAGCCTGTGAAGGAAGTGCAGCAGCTTAGAGATCCTGCGTTGAGTCAAATTCATTTGAAGATTACTGCCAGCTTACCGGATTTCCAGCAAACAAAGGCGCTCACGAAGGCCGGTGGGGGGGCCCTCAGAATGTCAGCAATGAAAGCCAGCGTCACAGCGTCCGTGGTCTGGCTTGATGCTGGGAGATACAGGAGCCAGACTGTGACAATGCAGCACACCGCGTCTGCTCTGAAATACAGCACCTCAGTCTGTCAAGAACCAGTCTCTTTTGTGCAACTCAAAAGTTCATTACCGCTACTGGACCCTATTCGAAGATAGATTAATGCAGTGATTACCCTATTTCCTTTATGATCCATTTTAATAACATTAATTGATACAAATCTATGTCTCTCATTGGTCTTTCCTTTCAAATTTTCTTCAAAAAAATTGTAAATTGGTAATTGTAAAAATTGTAAAAAATTGGTAACACGGAGTCTTTCGGAAGACAAGTCCCCTGACCTACATTTACGGCATGCAAAAGAGCTCAGTCGGTGTAGCGACTGGCTACGGGCTTGACTGCCGAGGGGTCGGAGTTCGAGTCCTGGTACGGTCAAAAATCTTCTCTTCTCCAAATCGCCCAGACCGGCTCTGGGGTCCACCCAACCTCCAATCCAATGGATAGCGGGGGCTCTTACCCCGGGGCTAAAGCTGCTGCAGCGTGAAGCTGACCACTCATCTCCAACTAGTGCCGAGGTCAAGAAAATTTGGATCTATACATCCACTCCCCCATACGCCTTCATGGCGTAGTGCTCAAATAGGTAAGCACAGGGACAACTTTACCTTCAAACGAATATTTCACTCAAGACGAAATTAGATGTCATTTTAGGGCGCTCACAAAGCTCTCTACTCTGCCCCTAGATGCCACTGCGGTCGCCAGACTCCGAAGTTCTCTGGCGGATAAGAGTGGCGACTACTTGAAATTACAGTGCCCAGCTTGGCTGGACAACTGATTAATATGACGCGCCCAAGTGACGTCTGAATGCGTTACTACAGTAGCAGGCCGACCGGTTGAGGTTAAGAGAACAAATGACGTGATTGTCAAATGCGACATTGGAAACAAAACAAACTTATTATTAAATATATTTCGTAGTTCTGTTACAATTTTCTTTCTGCTTTTGGCTTTCTGTCGCAAGTATACCGTTTCTTTACCAGACCAGTTTTCTCCTTCATTGCTACGTGCCGCTCTAGTAGCACAAAACACTGCCACAATTAACTTTTGCAAAGAGAGCCGAAACTTTATTTGGAACACCAGTTCACATCGCAAGCAAATATTTCCTGGCTGTAGTTTGGAAATGTTACATTTTGTTAAACTAAAAAAGAAACAAAATTCCGTGGTTTTAGTCCGCAAGCGAATTAAACCGATCGAGCGGCCGCCGCTTATCGGCGAAGTTTTTTTTTCTTGCTAGTGGGGTCTGACTAAGTCCCTTGTACTGCGGCCACTTCTGGCTTATTGTACCTTATTGTATGATAGGTGAGGGTGATTGTGGAGCAATTGGTGGAATGAAGATTGACAGGGGAAACTGAAGTACTCGGAGAAAACCTGCCCCAGCGACACTTTGTCCACCACAAATCCCATTTGACCAGACCCGGGATCAAACCCGGGCTGCCGCGGTGGGAAGCCAGTCACTAACAGCGGCTCCGGTCTAGAAAACCGAAATTAACGGCCGTCGGGATTCGTTGCGCTGACCACGCGAAACCCTCTATCCGCTAAAGTTGGCAATAACTATTTCCTTGAAATAGCTCCTCAATGACCATCACGAGGCTGAGTGGACCCCGTTCCAGACTCACTACTTCTCAGAAAAAATCCGGTTGCGCCGTGAATCGAACCCGAGACCTCTGGATCTGTAGTCAGGAACCCTGACCACTAGAGGCGGTCTGCTATATTTTGTTAAATACTGAATTTGTTTTCATCTTCTTCGGAGAGGTTAGTAATCCTATACAGCACAGTGTTAACTACTCGTATATGTGTCACCTGCTTCAACACTGAAAATCTCCGTTTCCCAAACAATGCATTATTTGTCATAAGATTTTCGAAATAAAACAGTAATTAAATAGCATTCACACCATGTAATGAAGAGGCAGTGTGTTTTCTGTCTCAAGTGAATGCTGAGATTGTTACCAAGTCCCATGCAGCCCTCACAAATTAAATCTCCAAAATTGAATCCCTCTGCTGTCAAACGGTACAATTTACGTATCTTTTTCAAAATTATGAAATTTGACAGTAATTTCGAAAATCAAAATCCTGCTGCCCCTATTTCAGGCTACCCTTCACACTCATGCTACTGTTGCCAGCCTAGGAACCTTGTACAAAAGAATTTTCTTTCTCTCCACGCAAAAGTAGTGGATCGCAATTGGCCAAGGCTTTCGCTGGAATTTACTCATCTGTTTTACTTTCTTGCCCCGTCATTCTCTCATTCTCTCATTCTCTGCCTTTACCTTCAGATTTCAACGCGCTTTTATGGCTATCTTGAGCATGAGTAGCCCGCCTCTTGCAATAAAAAAGAGGCAATTACTTTTTAAATTTTACTACTTAAATTTCTATCCGACCGAACAACACCACTTTACAAAGGGTTCATAATTACTCAATCGCTCCTGCTTTTAGAACCTGAAATTTAATAACGAATTTTGTGTTTACCCCAAGATCCTTATGTCTTCTATAATGTCTACCAGCTTACGAGATTATCCAACAAATTATTGTAGCGTGTATTACCGTTGCTGTGCAACGATCGTGAGAGAGAGCGTGCGTTGCTTGGTAACGGTCTACAAACACGTAAACAATTCCCGGGTACCGTGTAACCGTTCATTCTAATTGGTGGACTATTGTGCATTAATTAAATCTGTATTAAGTTAAGATTACCAAAATTACAAACAAAGAGATCCGGCAGATAGCCAGCTCTTACACGCAGAAGGGACATAGTTCAAGTTTTGCTATGTGGACAGGAAGTAACATCTGGTACTTTCCTGGAATTCTGGCAGTTTCAGCAAAGTCGGAAAGTCTTTGAGAAATTGAGAGCTGACAGCTTGGGACAGCTATAACTTAGAAGTGGGATGGCCGGAGCCTCATACCCTGGTCGTAATGCATCAAGGGGCTGTCAACCATAGCGTCAGGTCAGCATCTGCCAGAATCGCATAGCAAAGCAACATGATTGGAAATTCAAAATTTAGGGAACCTCCTAGTTTGAAAACTTAACCAATGGCAGAAGTGGAGGAGTGGATTTCTCTTGGAGTCTGGGGTTCGTGGACCTCAGGATTCAGAGAGAGTGCATTCCACCTCGAGGAGTCTTCATCCAACTTTCGGCAAAGTCGGACACAAAATTTACAACTACGTCCCTTCCGTAAAAGTGTTATAAGTAAAGTTTTAAATAAGTGTACTAATAAATTCATTTTATTCAGTGAGCTGGAGGGAATTAAATGATTACTAAGTGCAACGGTCTAAAGAGGTGTGTGTGAATTGTAGTGAAAGGTTCTTCCTGCCCTGCGCGAGCCAGACCCGTATAAGACCCGGGATATGAACTCAGCTCTAACAATTACAGAACAGAAACCAGATACTCCTGTCTTTACCTATTCGCGAGACACCTAAGGGTGTACCAGAAGCGAGCTCTCGCCTAACAGCTGCAACAACCACAATTCTCCTCCCTTCCCATCTAACTTCTCGACATCCACGAGAAGAGGGAGGACGGTGATAAGGGGAGCCCAACGCAGGAGCTGGGACGACGGTGAGAACCGTTAGGCAACTGTTTCATAAACGGGTTCCAGCAGTAAGAGATACTCATGCAACGGTCAGGGTATTGTTGGACTATAACAATCTAAACGGCGTTTTCTACTTGGTTAGTGCCGAATCATTATAAGAAGGGTCAGTCGAGTTCCGGAGTAGGAAATTGTGGGCAGTTCAGTTGAGTGAAGTAACGCGAAGTAGCTGGTTTATCAGAGAGTTCAGCTGTCAGCTGGAAGCCAGCCTGGGGCAGAACTGTGTGAGTTGGCAGTTGACAGAAGCTGAAGAACCCGCATGGAAACGGCTGGTGGAGCTGCAACAGACTGAGGACACTAGTCTGTGTGTGTCATAGATCTGTGAAGTGTAGTTCCGAGTGGTGTATACAAGTGGCCAATAAATGCAGTATCCAATTCATACCCCGTCTATAGTCACACACCAAATACACGTGAAAATATATACCGTAGAACCTATGAAGAGTAACGTCTTGTGGGTTTGTAACGGGAGGAACATTCTAGGATCGAAGGGTAAGCCATGTAATAAACAAGCAAGAACCAGGCGACAAGCAGCAGTCTCCTTCACAGGTTACACTTGGACACCGATGGTGGAAGAGATAAGTTTCCTTAGAAAGTAGCAAGCCTGATTTCTTGCTTGACTTAGTCTTCGGCCCTAAACCTGGAAGCGATATGCTTCTCCTAAACATCGATCTTTTGTGAACCCCTCTGCTTTAGAACCCAGTAGTCACCGATACGAGAACATCACATCGAACTATATAAGCTACGATTTCTACTTGCCCAGTCAGTCTCATCCTTCACACGGGCGCTAGAGTCACTCGCCTTGCAACGAAGTGGGCCAAAAAGTAGCGACTGCAGACATCGTGTAAGGGCCATCAGTTCAGTAGGAAACAGAGCATGTTATATTCAGAGCGTGGGTACAACTGGATCCAGTAATGATACACTTCAAGACATAACTTGCGTATTCTGTTCTGTGGAGTGATGCAAGCTTGTATGTGCATCTTATATCAGGGGGTAAGGCCTATCGT